TCCCTTACTTCCAGCTGGCAACCCGGAAGAGTCAGTCTGCCTAGGCTTTAGGTGCCTTACGGTCTCCCTTCCCTTGGTACATGCTTCCAGAGCACATGTCTTTTTCCTCCGGTTGGCGACCCGGCGATTCAGCTGGTGTGTCCCCCCTTCAAGGACCTGGTCGCTTGGTTCTCCGGTCTCGGTCTCCAATTCCAAATTCAGTTTTCCTGTAGCACCATCAAAGATCATACTACCTCCCTACTCAGGGCTTGCCAAACGAGTTTTCGGTAATTCTGGTTTCCTGGATTTATTGCGCTGAAGCTTCTATTCAAGATTATGTGACCAAGATTACAGATATCTGGATCCAATCAATAATCTTAACGTTAACTGATACAGATCTAGTATTTTCAAAATCGTCATCTGTGGGATTCGAACTCTAGACCTGCTGCTTGGGGGTGCAGCAACTCCACCACTTCACTAGGTCACCGCACCTTTATTTTATACATCTTATTAATTTTGCTTAATTTGCTAATAGTAAGGGTTTCATATTGTAATAAAAACATTTTTATCTTTTGTTCTCTTATCAATAATTTTTTTTTTCTTATTTTATTTTTTAGTTCTGTACTAGCTTTGGAGGTTTATATCAAATTATATATATTTTTTACTTTATTTTTAACCTTGTTCTCTTTTATATCTATACTTTTGTCATTTAGTCTTTTCTTTTTCTTTACTAAGCTTATCTATTTTTTAATTTTATACATTGCATAATCTTCTTGTCCATATTTAGTATATAATAGTACTGCTTTAATTTTTATATTCTTTGTAGTATTTTTTTTTAGAATTTTTACTTTATTTTTATTTAGATTTATTTCTGCTAATTTAATCAATATTGCTTTTTTCTTCTTTTTAGTAATTAAATTTTTTGTATTATTTGCACTTTCTTGTTTTTTTTTTAGTAACTCTTTTTTGAAGTTTGTTTTTTTACTTAATATATCAATTTTCGTCTTTGTTGAACTATATAATGTTGCCAATCTTTCTTCTTCACTTTTTATAGCTCTTTCTTTTTTTATACTTGATATTACTTCTGTTACTTTTCCAATAAGTATATATTTTTTGGCTAAGTTTTTTGTTTTGATTATTTTTATATAGTACTCAATTGTGTATTTCTATTACACTATGAATTGTAGTTATAAATTCTAGGTCTTGATACTCAAGATATTTTGCTATATTTCAATCTATATTTAGAGTATACTTTTCTTTTTTTGTATAAACTTTTTGGTATTTGCTTTGTAAAGCTTTAGCGAAATCCTTAATTAGTAATAAATCTATATACTTGTTACTATATGATTGAATATCTATATTTGTATTTCTAAAATATTACTCAACTTTCTACTTGAATTTTCTAGAATATAATATTTGTTTGTTTATATTAAGCATGTGATAATCAGCTTTGTTTTGTTTTGTTTGTTTGTATATATATTGTTTGTTTTGTTTTATTTGTTTATATATAATACAGAAATCTACAATTCAGAGTTTAGATTAGTCTCCCAAAAAACAAAAAAAAGTTTTTATAGAAGAATTTTTTAGCAGAAAATTTGTTTTCAAACACAATAACTATCACTATAATTCCTCAAAATATTTTACTATTCTAACAATATATATATATTTTTGTACAAGTTTCTTTTTTCTTAGACTATTTTGTATTATTTCTTATGTTTAAAGTGCTCTATTTTGATTATTTTTCTTCTGGCTCAATTTGGTACAGATAATTAGCAGAAAGAGTTTAGTTTTTTGATTAATTGCTTTGTAATATATATAAGTATATTTTTTTAAAATAATATAATAGTTTAAAATTTTACTATAATAGATAAATTATTTTATTTATGTTTTATAAAATTTTAGCTAAAATTAATTATAACTGTAAAAAGTTTTATTAGTAGTACATTATTAATTTCTATATAAATCTTATTGTATCACCAAAATCATATAATAAAATAATCTACATACCTTCTACTCTTAAACTTTTTTACTTAAAAGTAAAAAGTATAAATATTTCTTTTTTTTAGTAAGTAATAAACCTAAGCTTATTGGCAAATAGTATATAAGAATTGTTTCTAAATAACAAGTACTATTTTTAGCAATAAATAATAAACTTTAAGACTATTAGCAAGTAGTATATAAAAACTATTTCTAAATAACAGTTGCTAGTTTATAAACTTCTCTATCTTACTCTTAGCCTTCCTGTGCACTTGTATTTTTTTAATAAAAAATTGGTTGTATTTTTTAATACAAGTGATTATTGAAAAAAGTTAATATATAATATATATATCTAACTAAAATACTGTATAACTTAATACAGTATTAATAAAAGTATTAAAATCTAAATACTATTTCAATATTAAAAATACAGTATATATATTTGGAAAGTTGTATTTAATTTTTTAAAAAACTAGTTTAAACTACAGTAGTTAAAACTAAAGTTAATAAAAACTATAAAATTATTTAAAAAACTAATCTAGAACTAGTTTTTATAAACATCCTTGTAATTATTATATTATCCAATCAAATTATTTTTGATTAAATATACTGTAATATAAATTATATAGTATAATTTTATTTATATTTGGTAATAAGTATTATATTATTCAAAAGCACGTTTTATTTCAATATAATGTATAAAAATTGATGTTCAACCGATTTAACTTTAACAGTGACCTATATTACGTGAAAATTAATTTATATCTTTTAACGTTAAGAGAATTGCTACCGACACATCATATTTTAATTCTGCTATTGGCCATGCAGTGTTAATGCTGTCATTGCCGTGTCGATAAGGTTATGTCGATAGCATTCGAGAATTGGCACTGACCTCTACTTAAGCAAAATGTCAATTAACAAATTCAATACGTATAAATGTACAATAGGGTTTTACTACTGTAAATAGAAATAATACGTACACCAATTTTCTAAAAGTATGTTCATATATGAATTTAGCTTTCATTATTTTCGTCAGGGACTACAGGTTAGATAGATAAGACCGAATATATGACTGAATAATGTCGATATTGTTATTTATAATCGAAAAGTAACTTATGACGCGATAGTGCATTTTATTTTCGAGATACAGTAGTATATTTGATTTAAATAATAATTATACGTAAATTATAAAGTTAGAGAACCAATTACAGGTTAATGCATCATATATTCCTAATTAGTCATCGAATTTGTTATCTTTCAATGATCACGTCTACATGTGATAAAAATTATTAAAAAAAAAAAAAAATTAAAATTTTTTTAACACTTGATATCATTAAATACGAAAGTGATGGCAATGTATATTGAAATGAAGTAATTACATTGGGATTTTAACAATTAGTAAACCTTTATTGGTAATAAATTGATCATAACGTTAAGTTCTTAGCGTTAGACCTTTGCATCATATCTGCGTATTAGATGGAATTGGATTCATGTGATCAGCATTTTTTTTTTTTTTTAATTACTAGTAATATAACTGCTCGGCCAATCCAATACCGAATTCCGGGGTTAGACCCGAAAAATTCATGTACAGTATGTATATTTACTAATCCTCGATATACAAATTTCATCAATGATTAAACGTGTAATTACATGTGTAATTCTTGGCGCGAATTGCGAATCCTTCAGCACAGCCAGTCAGCTTTTTTTCTGTTTTTTTGATAATATGGAAATTTACATCAGAGATGCGTATAAATTATCGGTTAAGCAAAAGCATAATTCATTTCGAAAGACATTAGAAACATTTGTCATCTATTGCGCCATCTATGAAACACTGAAATTGGGTATATTAAATTAAGTAAACATATATGCATGCTGGCTTCTCGTACGCATGTACTCAATAAACAGGTTGTTAAGTTTCCATATTTTATATGGATAGAGATAGATAACTCATTTTGTATCACATTATAATGCACAATAATAATAATGATAATACTGCCATGACCCAACTTAAACTTGAAAAAAAATTACTAAAGATACAAATTGAACATCACCAGCTGACCCCAGGTGGCTTGTTTATTTAGTAAGTTTATGCATGTATAATTCACAATTCCAAGAATCCAGTGTTTGGTTATTTATAAGCATTTCATTGTTCCAATACCGTTAAATGTTAGCGTGTTAGGGAGTTTTTCACATTATCTTGTTATTTTCTTGAATTTTTACATAATACCCCGTTTATGAATATTCTCACGTCGATATTCGAATGATAGCATGAACTCGAGAACTAAAATAACTAAAATGAAGATGATCAAGATATAATTGCTTTGGTGTTTGTCGTGCAATCTTTTGTGTCCCGTCGCGTGAATGCTTTATATATAAAGTTACACATGTATACTATTCTCAAAATATTAATCGATTAAACAAACTAATCATTATCAAATTTGCTTTGGATTTGTCATTATAATTTCTATAATTTATCTCGGGCATTATGTAATTCTTTCTATTTGAGGTTCATTTTCCTTGAAATTCTTTCCAAAGTAGTTTTCTGTAATTCTACTTTTTTTTTTTGAGGCATGATAATTCACTGAGAAAGGGAAAAACACGTTTTTTGTGTATTGTTGCTTGTGTCTTATTTAGTATTATCGGCGCGATAAGGATAAGGGGACACATTTCAATGTAATGGTCACAAGAACTTGTCGTGCATTGCACATCTATACTGTCAAATGACCTTGCCTTCCAATTTGCCGTTATATCGAATTTTCTTCCATTACTCTATGAATCATAACTTTAAAGAATTGATCCCTCCCTTATTCATGTATATATAGAAGTATATCGGCTGTTTTCGAACTGTTTTAAATTTTTTCGTTGTTTTTATGAGGATAAAAAATTTCCTTATTTTTATGAATTATAAATTATAAATATTTAAAAGAAATCCTTTAATGTACTCTCCTCGCTTATTTATTCGTGTTTTATCTTATTAATTAAATAATATACAATAATTATAATTGATCCTAATATAGTGTTTTAGTGTTACTGAACTGGTTAGCATGAAGCCGGTCAAATTCTCTCTTCTTGCTTGGGCCTTGTTGACCCTCGCTTCTTCTGTCCCTGGACACGCTCACGTCGTTTCGCCGAGAAACGTTGGAGCTGCCCGTCGAACAAACTTTGGTCCTGAGTTAAATCACCGTACTTATAGTGCTCCCTCAATAAATAAGTTTGGTACTTTTACCGTTTCAGATGACGCTGATCCTAAAGAGATTGCTATCAAGTTTGTCAAATCAAAACTTCACCCGAAAGCTGACTTTGTGATTAAAAATATCTATAAATCTGATCATAATGGCGTTACCCATGTATACTTAAAACAAGTTGTTAATGGTCTACATGTCACTAATGGTGACATTAATGTTAACATCGACCAATATGGTAGAGTTATATCGTATGGTGATTCGTTCGTTAAACCTAATCAACCAGTGACCCCTCCTCCAATAAAGCTCTCCAAAGATGGAGTAAAAGTAAATCTTGTTGCTGGAGATTTTCGATTAGTATTTGATGAACATGATACTATATACCTAAAATCTACCGATTCGACTTCCGATTCCGTTACTTATTCTATTAATGATGACGTTGGTTCTGTCATTTCTCCGGAAGAAGCCTTAGACTCTTTGGCTCGCTTTATTAACCGAGAGATTTCCAATCCCGAAAATATCAAATACACTGAAGTTGGTACGTTTGGAGAAATAGATTCGTTTCTGTTACTCACCAATGTACCATTTGCCCTCTCCGACGTGAAAATGAGCCAGTCTTACATTCAATTGGATGATCAAACACTACAACTCGTTTGGGATATTCAAGTAGAGATGGAAGATAATTGGTATAATGCTCATGTTAATGCTAATACTGGCGAACTTATCGCGCTTATGGATTGGGTTTCCGATGCCGCATATAATGTTTTTCCTCTCGGTACTAACGATCCTTCGGACGGAGGTCGAGAGATTGTGACGAACCCTTATGATATTATCGCTTCTCCATTAGGTTGGCATTCTCAGGGTAAAACAAACTATACCAAAACTATTGGTAATAATGTGTATGCTCACGAAAACTTAAAAGGAAATTACGAATGGGAGAATAATTATCGCCCTGAAGGTGGCAGTTTATTAACCTTCGATTTTCCTTTGGATTTGACTAAGGCCCCAAAGACCTATATTGATGCCTCCGTCACTAATCTCTTTTATTGGAATAATATAGTACTTATTACATGATTTGATTTCGTTAAATGCCATGTATTAAACAACTATTTAGCCAATTAATGATACATTTTTAAATTCAAAGATCCATGACTTATTTTATCGATATGGTTTCAATGAGGTTGCCGGAAACTTTCAACAATATAATTATCAGAAAGGTGGAAAGGACGGAGATGCTGTAGTCGCGAATGCACAAGATGGTTCTGGGTATGATTATTTCTTATAATACATGCATATTTATTTTTCAAAAAAACTCTTTTTAACGTAATTAATAATTTCAGATTTAATAATGCTAATTTCGCCACACCACCGGATGGTCAGCATGGTAAAATGCGAATGTATGTATGGGATGTCATTGAACCATGGCGAGATGGAGATTTGGAATCGGGGATTATTGTATGTATCGAATGCATTAAAATGTAATTCACAATGTATCACAATGATTCTAATCATGTTGACA